AAGAAGACCCCTCTCGGCCGAAAGGAGGGAGTTCGTAAAGAAAGAGGTGTCTATGCTCCTCTCCATCAAACACATCAAGGAGGTGAAATACCCTTCTTGGTTGGCAAACGTAGTCCTCGCACAGAAGCCTCCTACCTTCCGCATGTGCGTGGACTATACGGATCTGAATAAGGCGTGCCCCATGGACCCCTTCCCTCTGCCAAACATTGATCAACTAGTGGATGAGACCGCGGGATGCGAAATCATGTCATTCCTCGACGCATTCCGCGGATATCATCAAATCTACATGCATGAGGAAGACGCTGAAAAAACTGCCTTCATGACACCCGAAGGCATCTTCTGCTATCTTGTGATGGCCTTCGGCCTCAAAAATTCAGGCGCCACCTACACACGCATGGTGGCTAGGGTCTTTCAAGCTGTCCTAGGACGCACCATGGAGGCTTACGTTGACGATATGATCGTCAAAAGTAAGAAGGCGAACACTCACGCCGACGACCTCCGGGAGATTTTTGCCATCATGCAAAAATTCAACCTCCGGCTAAATCCAAAGAAATGCACCTTCGGCGTGCAGGGAGGAAAATTCTTGGGCTACATGGTCAGCCGAAGGGGTATTGAGGCCAACCCCGAGAAGATTCAGGCCATCATCAACATGGAGCCTCCACGCAACGTCAAAGAAGTTCAACGGCTGACGGGTTGCCTGGCGGCCCTCAACCGATTCCTCTCTAAGTCAGCGGAGAGGGCCCTCCCCTTCTTCCAAATCATGAGGAAGACGGCGGGTTTTCAATGGACATCTGAGTGTCAAGAGGCCTTCGACGAACTCAAGAAGTACCTCTCCGCTCCCCCAGTGCTCTCCAAACCAAAGGTGGGGGAGACCTTGTACTTATATCTCGGTGTTAGCCCTGCGGCTATCAGCTCAGTACTAATCCGAGAGGAAGACGGCATCCAACATGCCATCTTCTACGTCAGCAAAACCCTCCGGGAGGCCGAACTCAGGTATTCTCCCGTCGAGAAGACGGTGCTAGCCATCGTTTGGACCGTCAAGAAGCTGGGCCACTACTTTCAAGCTCATCCGGTCCAGGTGCTCACTCATCAACCCCTCGGCGCCCTCATGAGAAGCCCCACAAGTTCCTCCCGAATGGTGAAATGGGCCATCTTCCTCAGTCAGTACAACATAGATATCCGTCCGAGGCCTGCCATTAAGGGCCAAGCCCTGGCAGACTTCGTAACGGAATGCACCGCGAGATCAGCAACAGACGAGGAGCCTTCGGCACCCCTCGATGAGTGGTGGACACTCTATACCGATGGCTCCTCGGCCACCAAAGCGTGCGGAGGGGGAGTAGTTCTCATTACACCCGAGGGCTTCCGCGCCTATTATGCCATCCGCTTCTCCTTCAAAGTCTCCAACAACGAGGCCGAGTACGAAGCCCTCCTCTGTGGCCTTCGGCTGGCAGCAAATCTGAAGGCTAAGATGATCCACGTCAAGTGTGACTCCAAACTTGTTGTGGGTCAAATTTCCGGGGAGTACGAAGCCAAGGAAGGAAGGATGAAACAATACAAGGAAGCGGCTAAGGAGTTGCTCAAGGTGTTTGAGGCACATTCTCTCACCCAAATACCGAGGGCTCAAAACTCCGAGGCCGACATTCTATCCAAGCTCTCGGATGAATCCCCCGAGCACCTCTCGAAGATTGCAAGAATTGAGGAGCTCAGCCTCTCGAGCATCCATGCAAGCCCTATCATGGACATCCACCTCAGGCCGGAGGACTGGATCTCCGACATTATCAACTTCATCACCACAGGTCAACTTCCCGAGGACGAAACTCGCGCCAAGTTAGCAAAGCTGAGGGCTCCCAGCTACTCCCTCGAGAATGGTAGGCTCTACAAAAGATCCTACAACGGCGTCCTCCTTCGGTGCCTTCATCAGGATGAAGCCGAAGTAGCCATGGAGGAAGTGCACAGTGGCACTTGCTCAGCTCACCAGGGACCCTTCTCCATGTCCCGAAGGCTCATTGTTCAGGGCTACTTCTGGCCTACAATGGCCTGAGATTGTGCGGATCTAGCCCGGAGGTGCACCGCATGTCAACGCTTTCAGAAGGATCCCGGCAGACCAGCGGTTAACTATGCCCCCATCAGCACATCAATGCCCTTCTCCAGGTGGGGTATTGATCTCGTAGGCCCTCTGCCGAGGGGTACCTCCAACAACAGGTACATAATTGTGGCCATTGACTACTTCACCAAGTGGGTAGAAGCCGAGCCCCTCGCCAGCATCACTGAGGCCAGGTGCTGTCACTTTGTCCTTAAGAACATACTCACAAGATTTGGCGTCCCTCAACAAATCATCACCGACAATGGGACTCAGTTTGAGGCAGCCCCCTTCTGTGCCCTCCTGGAGGCCTGGGACATCAAACACACATTCTCCTCCGTTGCCTACCCTCAAGGCAACGGGCAAGTTGAGAACGCAAACCGCACCCTTCTCGAAGGCCTCAAAAAGAAACTGGAGGCCCAAGGAGGGGGCTGGGTTGAAGAGCTTCACAACATTCTCTGGGCCTACCGCACCACCCCCAGGCGAGCAACAGGTGAAACACCCTTCTCCCTTTGCTATGGTTTTGAAGCTAAGGCTCCCACTGAAGTGACTCTTCCCACCCGAAGGGTGGAGCAATATGAACCGGAGATCAACGAGGCAAATATGGCCCTCGACCTTCATCTCATCTCAGAGCGTCGAGAGCAAGCCTTCCTCAGGGCTGAAAACTATAGACGCCAAGTCAAAGGCTACATCAACGCCAAAGTCCGCTCCCGGGAATTCCAGGTGGGGGACTACGTCCTCCGACGACGGGAAGCTAGCCTACCAACCGAGGGCGGCAAGATGGCACCCAAGTTTGAGGGCCCCTACATAGTCACAGCCATCATAAAACCGGGGACGTACAAACTCAAACGCCCCGATGGGACGGAGGTCCCTAGACATTGGAATGTACACCATCTTGTAAAATTCTATCAATGAGCGGCAAACCCCCCATCCCCTTATTAAATGAGCAGCAAACCCCTCATTCACTACAAATATATTTACGGCCGAAGGCCCCACATAAGCGCGGATGAGCGGCAACCCCCTCATCCCCTTATTTAATGAGCAGCTAACCCCTCATTTTTGGGCCCAGTGCTCCCTCCTCATGAGAAATTCACAAGGTGCGCAGATATGCCCACTACTCAAGAATAACACCTCTGATGCTCCCTTCACAAGCCCTTCGGCTCCGGCGGGCACCACGTGCCCCCGGCTATTCGTGCTCTACGCACAAATAGAAACCCTCCCATTGAACGACATCTGTGCCATTCCACACACATATGGAGGCAGGTCCCGGACCACGTCCCGGACCCAGGGATTCCTCTTCAAAAAACGAAATGTCCCCGCGGCATCCTTCTTCAAGGATGACAGGCAACAGACCAAGTCTCGGGCCTAGGGGACAACTTTCAAAAACCCGGGGCGCTCTCCGTGCCTCCCTCTTCGGGGAGGCGGGCAACAGACGATGTCTCGGGCCTAGGAACGACCTCAACCCCCTCGGACTCCGGGAGGTAGCTCCCGAGGGCGGGACTAATGGTTTGGTCCATTGTTCCGACCCCAGATTCCACATTCCTGGATGCCTCTCCTACTACATGCAAAAAACAAAAAAGCAAAAAGCAAAAAAAAAAAAAAAAAAAAGGCGATGTATAGGGGGGAAGGAGCTCCGCGGATACTTCTATCTCTGGAGACTCAACAACTCACACACAATTCCCGAAGGCTACTTTTTAAAGAACCAAAGGAAATCTCTCAATACCACATCTATCAACAAAGTGCCCGAGGACACTGACGGACGAAGGCTAGCCATCCTTGGCAACATATCCGAGGGCTCCTCCACCAACAACTTCATCAAAAGTTGGCCAAGGGACACTCAGTTGTCATTCGAAAACCGAGGGCTACATGCCTTGTAAAACTGAAGGCTTCCAACAATGACTGGGGGCTCATCAAGCTCTAACGTCCGACGGCTCGCACAACAAACGCCATTATTTCATTCAAGATTGGCTAAGTCCACGATTTGGGCCCCTCGGATGACAGAGATGTACCACACAAAAACTTACAACCTCTTGCCGAGGGAAACTTTGACTCTGCTATGATGAAGCCTACAAATACACAATTGATCGAAGGCTTGCCATTATCGAAGGCCGACGGTATGACCTAGGTTAAAATTCTCAACATGGCCGAAGGCATACAGCACAACAGGCCACGATTCCATGCCACTAAAACCGAGGGCTATCACCTAAGGCTACGCTCGGGCATCAATCAGAGATGCATTTGGCCGAAGGGTCCTCATCAGATTCCTACATTGGAACCGAAGGCGTGTGAACATTTATACTTAGAAAAATTTCTAAGTCCAAAGACATACAACATAGATACAACAACAAAGACAAAGGAAACAAAGGGCATTCATTCAGAAAAAGCCCGAAGGCAAATCATTCATTCATCATGAAAATATTCTAAGTACAAAAGGTGTTTGTTTGATTACAAGGCCGAAGCCGAGGGCCTACAACTATTACATCAAATGGTGACAAGAAAGATTCTAGGTCTGGGCCCCTCCAGCATCACCATCCTTCGGCTTCGAAGAAGCGTCATCTTCAGCTTCCTCATCATCCGAGGCCAATTTGTCCAGCTCGGAATCCTCGAGCAGAGGCCGCTCTTCACCCTCGGGCAGGGGGATCTGAATGTCGGGCAGCAGAGGGGGAAGCCCGTATGCCTCCGGCTTGAAGTCCTTCGGATCAACTCCAAAATGCCGGGACAGCTTCCGGTAGAGCAGGCTTTGGGTGAAGAACTGGGCCCCCTCATAGAAGCTTTTGCCCTTCAAAGCTAACCACATTGCTCCAGGGCCCTTCACCCAGCTGTCCGCCGAGGCCTCCACCACCGAGGCCACCCATTGCTGATGCTCCTCGACTTTCCAGCTCTCAGCCTTGAATGCATCCACGGCGTCCGCCTTCGCTTTGGCCACCGCCTCCTTCTTGGCAGCCTCGGCCTCCTCAGCGGCTGACTTAGCGGCCTCGGCAGCAGCCTTTCCTGCCTCAGCTTTGCCTTTGGCCTCAGCGTCTTTCACCTTCCGCTCAAGCTCAACCTTGGCGCACCGAAGGGACTCCTCCAGTTCAGCCCCGATCCTAACGGCCTCGGCGTGATCCTCGATCAGCTTCTTGAGAGCATTTTCATTCTCTGCCTTCTTCAGGCGCATTTGCTCCACCCTTTGGACATACTCTCCGAGGGCTAGGCTAGCCTGCAAGGACAAGACGAGGGCATCCCATTATTACAATACATAAAAATAAAGAAACACTAAGGCAAGTCGCGCTAATAAATGCTTACAGTGAGCGAGGCCTCCAGAGCTCTTCGCTCGAGGGCATCGTCCTCGTACTTCCCGAGGATGTAGCGGTCGAGGGGGGGAGTAGCACCCCTCAGAAACTCCCTTGGGTCGAGGGTTCCCTGAATAACAGCTTCCCCCTTCCTGAAGGAAAACTGCACAGTCTCCAAGGGCAGGGGCCCCTCGCTTATATCGTCCAGATGGGGAGAATCCGAGGGGTTGGCAATCGACGTCTCCTCGATAATTACCAGGGGGCATCCCCAACCCCCTCGGCCCCCTTCAACTTCTTCGCAACTGGAGGTTTGGAGCCCTTCCCAGCATTTTTCCTCTTCAGGGCCCCGGCTTGAGAGCCCCCGGCATCATTACCGGTTTCAGCATCGGCAACCTTCTTGGAGGCGCCCTCATCCTTCTTGAAGAATGCGTCAACGGGAAGCTGGCTCGAGGGCCCCTCTTTCTTCTTCTTTGGCTCCTTAGCCAACTTCTTGGTTAACTGAGCAAAGACCTTCGGGTCCATTATATCACCTGCAAAGAGACGAAGGCTATCAGAATCAAACGTGCAAACAAAACAATAAACGACTAAGTACGGAATTATGAGCCCTCGGTAGCAACCTCCGGCATTCAGAAACCCTCGGTCATAAGCGGAGTACTTCTCCCCTTCCTCGCTTCTCAACCGATAGCGGCGGAAGCCTAGCTTGTACAGCTCCTCCGGAGCAGTCGCCTCCTGAATGGTGATTACTTTCTCGGAGCCCTCGGGCTTCTCTATCAGCTTCTTGGCAGCTTTCTCCATAGCCGCGATGCCAACTTTGGGATGCCTCCGGAAACGGTTGCGCAGGGCCGCCGGGAATGGATTTTCCGCCACACGAACATAGCAGAACTTCGCCTTCCACCCTTTCAGAGACGAGGGCGCATCAGAGAACATCTTCCACGAGGGAACCTGCTGGAGATTGGCGAAGCCTCCCGCGTGCGAGTGCCCCCCTCGGCACAAATTAAAATGCGCGAAGAACTGGTCCAAAGTCGCAGTTACCCCTCGGGATTCGCACATCGCCAAAAATCCGGCGATGTAAGAGTGACTATTGGGAGTCAACTGGCAGGGGGCTAGCTCCACGTAACGCAAATACTCCAAGACGAATGGATGCAACGGGAACCGGAGCCCCATCTCCACGGACTGCAGGTGTACCGCGAAGCAACCCTCGGGCGCGTGCAACAACACGTCGTCAGGCCCCGGTTGCACCACTTGTGCCGAGGGTCCCACGAGCAATTGAGTGGCGTGCAATTCGGCAGCGGAGGCTGTTGTCTCCACCACAAGAGCGGTGGTGTCAAGATATGAGTACCCCTCGGGTATATCCACCGGGCGCATAGCATCGACGGCAGCTTTTTTGCTCTTAGGAGCTGCCCTCTGTTTCTTCTTCTTCTTCTTTTCCGGGGCCACATTCACCGGATCGGGACTTAAGTGCTGGGAGGTACTAGCCTCGCCGTTTCTGCGAGGGGGAGGTACAGCGACGGTCACCCTCCGCCTCTCCTCCTCATCTGCCTCCTGCGCCACATGCAAAGCGAGGGCTAGCTCCTCATCTTCAACCACTTGTTCAAAGTCTTCTGCCTCCATCTCCATGTGGAGCTGACTCTGGACCTCCTCCGCCATCTGATGATCATTCCCCACCGATGGCTGCTCACTGGAAGTGGAGATGGCGGAGATACTCTCGTCTTGTACCGAGGCCTCCCCCGAGATGTTTTGTGAATCGCTAGCGGAGGACATAATTGCAAAGGAAGGGAAGGTCCTAGACCGAGGACTACTTATAACACTTAGCCTAAATATCACAGAGCAAAACTTACTAAGGAAGCGAAGAACAGATGAGGAACTGACCTCAAGAACTTTGTTTGATCGAAGGCTGGACTTTATCTCTCTAGAAAATTTGGCAGAGCTCCGCTATCACTCAAGAAACGCACGAAGGAAATGGCTCTGGCCTTTGGGTATTTATAGGCATTTGGGCCTCGATATATGGGCCTCCGTTTGAAAAGTCATCATTACATGCCGCCGGTTAAGCCAATGGGCGGCACCCGCCAACGGAAACATGCCACGTGGAGCCCCCTTCCAACGGCTCTATTTTGAAGGTTATGGCAGCCTCAGCTTCACAGCCCTCGGCTACCAACAAACAACAGCTCCCGCTGGCATTGCCCTCGACAATGCGGCATGATAAGCCCCCGGCTCATCAGTTTTGCCTCCTCAGGGTGTTTGCCTTCAACTACCATCTAATGTAGCCCTCGGTGATCACTCATCAGCAAGTCCCCTTAGACAGATGCCTCCAGCTATCACACGATATAGCCTTCAGACTATCAACACCGCCCTCATCAACTGGGCCATCAGCAACATAAGCCTCCGGTTTCCACTGCTGCCTGTACCCAGTCAATAGAACCCCTCGGGGAACTAATTAACACATCATAACTCCTTCAGCCCGAAGTCGCCTTCGGCCTCAAGGAGTGGGGGACTGGGATACACCCCTCGGGGACCACACTGAAACAAAATTTTCCCTAAGCGCAAAAATTACAAGTAACAATATACAGCAGCCACCGGAGAACATCAAAGAAGAACCCCTCGGGTACACACATCGAGGTACCCTTCGGCAAAACAAGAGACATCAAAAGCTCTGCGAGAACACTTACAACGATGGAGTGGCCTTCATCACAACGCATACAGGCAATCCATTTGCACCTCCCTCAGAAAACCCTCGGCATGTGGGGGACTGAGGGGAGGCCCTCGGCAGACAACACAAGAACTCCGAATCAAAGACGGAAGCCTTCGGCGAACCAGCGCAAGAACACAATTACTCCTTTTCCCTCGAGTACCTCTCGGCAAAAGGAGTGGGGGACTCCTGATGGAGTATATGGCCCAGGAACCCCGGTCCACAGACTCCTTGATATCTTACAAAGGCCCAACGAGCCCAAGAAGCACACTGGGCCCAAATATGGCGGTCCAAGTGGGCGAAGAGTCCAAAACGCACTCTGGGCTGCCCTCGGGTCTCCTTGGTCGAGGGCTCAAAATTACTCTAGGCACCCAGAATTAAGCTCACGAGACTTCTGGGAGAAAACGGCTCAAAAGGTAGCCCTCGGCTACCAGGAGCCCTCGGCACCCACTAGATGCCCTCGGCTACACGACACCCCTCGGCCACATGCAACTGGCCGCTGGTTCTGGAGCTCCACGAAGCTTCCTCTTGGGACAGGCAACCTCCGCATTAAATGCGGCGTCACATCCAACCACCGCATTAAATGCGGAGCACGTTCCTCTGCCGTTGCCACCCCCGATTGAGCTGACCCTCAGCCGTCGGATGGCTGACACGTGTACACCTCCAGCATTTATGGCTACTATAAATAACAGCCCTTGTTCTCATTGTAGAAAAAAAACGACTTCTACGAGTCTAAAGCAATAAGAATAATACTCTCTCTCTCTATTTTTGTTCTGACTTCTCTCTAGTATTTCCCTCTCTATCCCTCGGATAAGACACCCCCCGGGTAAACTATCCATCAGTGAGCGTGAGGAAGAATCCGTTGTCATTCATAGATTTGGAAGAAGCTTCATGGAAGGTGGTATGAGTTGAATTGTTCAATTTGTTTTACTTGGATCATCATCACCCCAGTGTCGCAAAGGCTCAAATACCTTCAGTGGGTAAGGGGTTTGATGTGTGCATTCTTACCCCTTGCACTAAAACACAAAGAGACTGTTTCCGAATGAATCATAATGAAAATCGCATCGAAAATTGCACGGACTGATTACTATTTCATAACAAAGAAGTGCATACAGTTTAACAAGTCATTTTTCATTATTCCATCGTATTCCCAAGCAAAAAAATAATGAATCTTTGGCTCCATTGCAAATGACGTGCCCTAGAATTTAATTTTTCAATTATCTCTTTTTAAACATATTTAAAACAAGCATCACGACTATGTCTTTGCATAGTTATGACGTGTATTGTATCACCACCTTTGTCGGCATATATGTTTGATGAATTATCGTTTGTGTCGATTTTCACTAGTCTCGACAGTTGTTGATCAATCGACTCACGTAGCCAGTGATATCAAACATCAATATGCTTTGTATGGGAATGGTACATGGAGTTCTTGTTTGAGACTAGAGCACATTGACTATCACAAGGTACCTTCTACTCTTTATGCTCAATCTCGTGTTCCTGGAGACACCGTTTTAGCCACAACATTCACTTACCACCTTCAACGTGAGAAATGTATTCTTCTTGTGCTATAGATATAGGGACACACTTCTACAATCTTGATTTACATGAAATAGCTTCCTGTGCAAAAGTATAATTATATCGGATTAAGACTTTCTGCAATTAATATCTCCGACCATATTAGCATTTGTGTAGTAAAGACATAACTTCATGATATCCTGCAAGTACCCTAAAAATCCATTTGACTGCCTCATTCTGCTCATTTCCTAGTTTAGAGAGAAAACAACTCACTATAATCAATGTCTGAGTGATGTTTGGCATTGTTCATATCATGGTATACATCATAATTCCAAGTGCTGAAGAACAGTGCACTGCTAACATCTCTTGAATCGCTTGCATTGACGTGGGTCATGTTCTTTTTCTCAACTTCAAGTGGTTAGCAGTTGAATATTAGTTGGTTTGACATAATTCATGTTGAATCTTTCAAGTACTCGTTCAATGTACTTCTCTTAAGAGAGTAATAATTTGCGATTCTTTCTATCTCGAGGGATCTGCATCCAAAGAAACTATTGAGCCGTTCATAAGTCTATCATATCAAAATATTTATAAAAATTTCTCTTAAGTTGGTTTTTCTTCATATATTTCATCTTTCCCGATGGCCATCATGTTGACTACATGTAGTAGAAGGGCAATGAAAGCACCGTCTGAAAGTCTTTTGATAAAAAAAGTATATCCTTATCCACAATAGTCTCTTTGTAGCCTTGAATCTTCACGTATGAGTCAAAGTGTCAAACTTCTTATTCCATTGCCTTGGTTCCTGCGTCAAATTATACAAGCTTTTAAATAGTTTGCTCATGCTATTATCATTTTTTTAATCACCAAAATGGCTTTTCATTAATATATACTCCCTCCTTCCCATAAAACTTGGCCATATTAACTTTTCTTGGTCAATGATGGTCAAGTTTGACCCTTTATATTATTTAATATATAATTATTTCAAATATGAAAATTATATGAAAATGTTCTTTTCCAAAAGCACTTTCATAAAAGTATAAAAGTTAAAAGTTTCACACAAATATAATAACTAAAATCTTCATCTGAAGTTTATTACGGTTGACCAAAAAAGTCAAATTGGCCAAGTTTATGTTTCTAACACAAAGGATACTTGGCATAATCAGGTTGTGCATATTAGACCAATATGCACAAACATATAAGAACTAACTACACAGACATCTCAAAATCACAAAAACATTTAAGAACACACTACACAGACATCTGAAAAACCACAAACATATAAGAACACACTGAAAACGAAATAAACAGGTAACTCCAAACATGGTAAAAATCACAATAGAGAAAATACAGTTTAACTCCAAACTAAAACACATTATATACTACAAAATGGTAAAAATGAAGCAAATTGACATAATAGCATATACACGGCCTTGAGTAAACTTCAAACAATTCATGCATGTCAATACCTCACTGAAAAACAACCAAGAACAAAAATAAACTCAAAAATACAAGTGCTGGCCTCCGTAAAAAATTAACTAAAAAATAAACTCAGAAATAAACTCAAAACAAGGTTATAAAAAAATTACCTTTGAGCCAATTTCGTCAATGAAGTGTGAACCATTTCCGAGAATCTTCAAGGTTTTCTGAAAGGGTCCGGCTGACTTTTGGAGTTCCGCGCAGACACCGGACGGGAGGGTGGAAGTAGTGACGAACTTCGATAGAGAGGGGCGGCGATGGAGTGGGTTTGGTGAAGCAGTTCGACGGGAAGAAGAGAGGGGAAGGCGTTGGTATGGGGGGAAGCGAACCAGAGAGTTTTGTTGTGGGATGCGGGAAAGAGAAGAAAGTGGGCGCATGGGAAAGTGAAGTGGGTGACGGTTGTTTTTGGGAGCTGCACATGGCTGAATTCAAATTAGGGGAGGGGGGTTATTCGGTTATGAAGAGGGGAGGTGAGGCTTTTTATGCTGGGTACACGTCCATGTAAGCGGGCGTGTACACAACGCATTTTCGTAGATAATATTAGGCACTTACTCGCTTTTAAACTCAACAAACTCTGGTGTGTTCCCATTTATAAGCAGTTTGGAAACGTATAATGAAGATGAGATTGATATTTTAACAATATTTAAGTACAATCTCAAATATCTATATCAACAATTATATCACTAAAAACAATAAACAATTAAATAAAGTGTATATATCTAACCTCGGAAGCGCGTTGATTTGCAAAGTTTAAAAAACATGAAAAATGGTTCATCTTTCCTCTAATTCACAAAATCAGTGTACTGATTTATGTACTTTTCCAAAGAATACATCCAATTCTAGTTCCTTTACCGTAAGCACATGTATATTAAGGATTTTGTGCTTATTTAGTTCTTATACATCGATTTAATCAAAGGAATTGATTATAAACTAATTATTCCAGATCCCCCAAAGTCAATTCCATGAGCCTCTCTATTTTCTCATTGATAATATGTGTTTGAGCAATACTCTTTCTCACAACCTTTCCAATGACATCTACAAAAAGTATTTTTGTATGTAGTTATAGTATTATACTTGTAGTATGTCAATAAGAAAAATAATTCGGTGAATGAATATGCTTATCAATTAGAGTTTTGTCATTGATCACCCTCTGCTTTTGTAGCATCTCAAATGGTTAAAAATCATAAACAAAGGGCGGGAATTCTAATTCTATGTTTTTGTTCATAACTTGTGTTCTTCTTATAAACTCGATAAGTAAGGATGATATCAATTACTAGAAAGATTATTATAGTAATTAGAAGTTGTGGTCCCTTCATTTTTTAGAAATGATCACCAATTTAGTTATATTTTAGGAAAAATTCCATATACCTACTACGTCATATAAATTTGCCAATCTTAATAATGCATGAACAAAATTTTCATAGTTTCAGAAACCTTTCAAAATAATCAACTTTTTTTTCGTCCGCGTCAACAAAATTCTCACTTTTCTGTTTTAGTCCAAAACATTTCTACATACGTAGTATCTCTTTATTCTCTATCCAACTCTCCATCATTTAATATCCAGCATCATAATCTGTGTGTCATTTATACTATAGAAAAAAAAATCTGGAATGGAGGAAGTACCATAATTAAAAAAAAAAACTTCGAAAGTAATCCCACTTTCCCAATTATAATCTCAAAAAATCACCCACCTCAATAAATTGATCTCTAATAATCGAAACAACTAGAAATATCTTATAAGAGCATCCCCATTGTTTAGATTATTTAGAGATCAATTGGATGATGTGGATGATTTTCTTTGAGATTATGATTGAGAAGAAGAGATTATTTGCAAAGATTATTTTCTTAAAAAATCTGGTATCAAATATTGAAACTAGATTATTTGGAGATTTTTGGCCTTCTTTTTAATCATTCGTAGAGTCCAAGAAAAAAGCATTAAATATAAAAAATTGGAAAGAGGTTACATATGTGTAATGCATTAAATACGAAAGTTTACAGTGGCTAATTTTTATATTTTGATTAGTGGTACATGGATTTGTATAGTTTCGTATGTATACTTTTTTTTAATGTATGTCCCACCAATAATCTGAAAATTAAAGATGATGGTTGAGGGGACTTTTTGAGTTTTAAGATTATTTCAGATTTTTTACGTGTTCATGATGTGGTAGAAAAAATCAAATTTTTTAGAGAGCATGAATGGAGATGCTCTAAAAAACCATGGAAAAATATATTTAAACTATAGATTCAAATGCTCCTTTTTCCTTTTTTTCATTAACACACGATTAAAATATCTGTAATTAATGATATCTAGTTTTTGGTAAACGTACGATTAATGAAACTTGCAAGTAAAATTAAACGAACTACGAAACGGACACATGATTCATGTACGAAAAACAAATTCATTCAAAAAAAACATTTCAAAACGTATAAGTAATTGGAGAAACTCGAATTAGACGTAAAGACCCCAATTTAACCGTCTTCGGAACAGCAGAGTACCGGGTTTTAGAGTAGAAACACTGCTTTTGACCGAAATGCCCAGTCCATAGGCGGAACCGTACCCATCAGTCAAGGCCATAACATGGACGTTTTCTTCCTAATAAAGACCTTATCTTCTCTGCGCTTTCTCTTTCTCTCTCTCCAGCAAATCTAAGCTCCTCCATGTCCCTTCAGATCTGAACCCTTCCTCCACTCCTGCACTAGCTCCGAGCAGACCCCGGAATCTTCTGGCTTACTTCTTCCCCGCACAATGGCGTACTCGTTCCCGGAGGAAGTGCTGGAGCACGTGTTCTCCTTCCTCAGCTCCGACAAGGACCGCAACTCCGTCTCGCTGGTGTGTAAGTCGTGGTATGAGATCGAGAGGTGGTGCCGGCGGAGGATCTTTGTCGGCAACTGCTACGCGGTGAGTCCGAATATCATGGTCCGCCGCTTCCCGGAGGTCCGGCTGGTGGAGCTCAAGGGGAAGCCTCATTTCGCGGATTTCAATCTGGTTCCCAAGGGCTGGGGCGGCTCCGTCCTCCCCTGGATTGTGTCAATGTCTCGAGCGTACCCTTGGATCGAGGAAATCAGGCTCAAGCGGATGGTCGTCACCGACGAGGCTCTGGAGCTGATCTCGAAGTCGTTTAAGAACTTTAAGGTCCTCGTGTTGGCGATATGTGAGGGGTTCACTACTGATGGACTCTCTGCCATTGCGGGTAATTGCAGGTCAGATTTCTCATTTTCTCTTACTGTTTTTTACTACAGTCGAGGCTAAATTTGGGTGGGAGACTATGAAATGTTTTGGATCTTTCGGTTTGTAGTTAAGTGTCGTATCTGTTTTTGGAGTCGGTGGAGTTAAACTTGCAACTCAAGAGCATTGCTATTTCTTAACTTGTCTTAGTCAATGAATTATTGGACTCTAGGTACTTCTTACCTCATCCTTTCTTTTAAAGGCAATTGCCAACTGAAAAATGCATCTGTATGTTGATGATTGATCTAAAAAGCTCATCCACTCGTAATTTTGGATCTAAAGCCTACCAATTTGTTCTGTAATCGGGTGTTTGTTTTTTATTTGTATTGACTAAAAGTAAACACATGAATTTCAGATGTATATTTATGCAAGTAATTTCAGTTCTTGAATACTAACTGAACGAAATACGATTTATTAAAAAAAAAAAAAAGGCTTGAAGAAAAACGGGTTCCTTCAACAGTTAGACCTTCCGCATTTCATTTTAGGGTTTCTAATGCGCGACAGAGGGACCAAAGAACAATTAATGTGCGTCAATTTCAATTTCAAATTTCTTTAAAAACAGTTTATAATCTAAAGAAAAAAATAAACTTGATTTAAACATGCTAGTAGAATGCTCATTCTCTTGGTACTTACCAGCAACAGTTTATATATTCTTGTATTTCCTAGCAATATTTTTTCAAGAGCCTACTGTTTTTATTAACATTCACCCTCTTTCTTTTAGTATGTATTTGAGTACGGCGTATTAAAAGTGTTGATTTATTTGCTTGTGTCTTCCATTAGATTTACTACTCCTTAATCTGAGGATACATTGATTTCCTTGTAATTATGCAGGAGTCTGAAAGAACTAAGCCTGCGAGAGTGTGAAATGGATGACCTGAGTGGGCAATGGCTTAACCATTTTCCTGAGAACTCAACTTCACTAGTCTCTCTTGACATAACTTGCTTGGGATGTGAAGTGAGCTTCTCGGGTTTGGAGCGTCTGGTTTCTCGTTGTCCAAACTTAAGCACACTTCGCCTTAACCGTGCTTTTCCACTAGAGAAGCTCCCGAACCTTCTTCGCCGCGCTCCCCAGTTGGTTGAGTTGGGGACAGGGGCCTTCTCCGGTGAGGTCCGGTCTGATGCCTTTTCCCACCTGACAAATGCTTTTTCTGGCTGTAAGAGACTTAAGGGTTTATCTGGGTTCTGGGATGTGGCTCCAGCTTACCTTCCGGCCATATATTCAGCCTGTAATGGAATTACATCTTTGAATTTAAGCTATGCTACTATTCAGAGCCCGGATCTTGTGAAGTTTGTTAGCCAGTGCCACAAATTGCAAAAGCTATGGGTAATGCTCATTGTGTTTCTGAACTTCTTTGATATTGAATATTGTAGTAGCTACGTGAGGAAAAATTAGAAATACAGTGCATTCCTTTTGAAAATTGGAACATCATGTACTGTTAAGGTGTTATTAACCATATTTGGTAACAAATATTATTCCCAACATCTAGAATGGTTAGGAAAGCTTATTTTGTGACCACTAAGTACTAAATCTTCTAATACTACCATCTGACCTTGCACATCATTTACTGTTGAAGGTATTATTAATTGTTATACCCTTGTGCATATCATCTAATTGCTAGTCAAACATACCCAACTTTCATAGAGTAATACAAGTGTTTTTGTGTAAGTACTTTTCCATTTATGCATTGGATATTCCCTTTTTGAAAAAGCACTCCCAATATGATGCTTGCTTAAATAAGCATTAGAATTGTTTTTACTACTAAGAGCACTTTTTACATATTTTTGGCAACTACTACTTTTTGAAGTAAAAGTACTTTTTTGAACTTTAAAGAGCCTTTTTTTGAAAAATAAGTCATCCCAAGTGCACTTTATGCTCTTTACAAATGTTGGATACTGCAATTTAGAGATAGCTTTTCTTGTCACTTAGCATGTATCTATGAACTCATGAGAGATATTTAACTGCAGGTTCTGGATTTCATTGAAGATTTTGGTTTACAGACAGTGGCTGCATCTTGTAAGGATCTTCAAGAACTTAGGGTTTTCCCATCGGATCCTTTTGTGGTGGATCCTGATATCATTTTGACAGAGGAAGGTCTTGTGGCTGTCTCGGAGGGCTGCCCGAAACTTCAGTCTGTATTATACTTCTGCAGACAAATGACAAACACAGCATTGGCTACTATTGCCCGGAACCGCCCGAATCTGGTCCGATTCCGCCTCTGCATTATCGAGCCTCGAGCTCCCGATTACCTAACCTTTGAACCACTCGATTCCGGCTTTGGGGCCATTGTAGAAAACTGCAAAGAATTGAGACGGCTTTCCCTATCCGGCCTTCTCACTAACCGAGTTTTTAAATCGATCGGGATCCATGCTAAGAAACTAGAAATGCTCTCCATCGCTTTTGCCGGGGAGAATGATCTTGGCCTTCACTACGTGTTATCCGGATGTGACAGTCTTCGGAAGCTTGAGATTAGGGACTGTCCCTTTGGGGATAAGGCGCTGTTGGCTAATGCTGCAAAGCTGGAGACAATGCGATCCCTTTGGATGTCTTCTTGCCCTGTGACATTCAGAGCGTGCAAGCTGTTAGCACAAAAGATGCCTAGGCTGAATGTTGAGGTTATTGACGAGAGGGGTCCGCCGGAGTCGAGGCCTGAAGATGAGCCCGTTGAGAAACTATATGTATATCGTTCTGTTGCTGGCCCGAGGTTTGATATGCCCTCATTTGTTTGGACGATGGATGAAGATCAAAAGAAGATGCGCTTTTAAGGTCTTATTATCATCTGCATATTATTCGTGCAAAATAGGCAATGCTTTCTGTGGTTGAAGAGCTTCAGAGGTCAAGGCGGGCAGCTCGGAGCGGGGAGGAGGTGATGCTGATGCTCTTGGATGTGTATTGGAGGAGGGGATGGAGTTCTGATGCCCATTTCATTTTGTACCTGGCTGAGTTTAGGCTACAGCATTTTTAGCAACTGTTAAGAGTAATAAATATTTTAAGACAGTAATTACTTCTGTTGTATTATTATTGTTTAGAGTTGCCCTGTTTTTTCATCGGTACATTGACTGTGTAACTAATGTAGACCGCTCTGCATATGGTTATGCATTTGTTTGTTTGTATGTTGGCTGGCAGGGACAAAATATCCCTGTAGTTCAATAATGTATTTTGTTGCATAATAAAAATTTATTCATTGGGATACTAGGCAAATGAGTAGCTGCTTATTAGTGCCATTTATGCTTCTAGTCTTGTCAAATAAGCACGGAAACTGCCATATGGAAACACGGGAAATGGTATTTTCAAAATATAGGATGTGTGATGTGGGGGAATGTGTACCTACTGAAAATTACAGAAGATAGCATTAAATATTCCGTAGTAGTTACACTGTTAGAAATGTGATTAATACATGATCGAAATAACAATAGTGAAAAAAAACTATAGTGGGCATGAATGTACTTTTTTTTTTTAACTGGGAGACTTATATTGATAATAAAACACTCAGCAAGGGACAATACTGATAAAGTAAGCACTTCTGACCACCAACCCTCGAACCAACTGAACAATCAATCACCTTAATAAAAGCAATATGATTCGCTGATCCTATCATGGGTCTACATGAGCCAAACGTGGCCAGAGTAAGAACTTCATCACCCCCACAAAGTGTAACAGTCTGGAAGAACAAAATAATAGTAAATGAAAGAACATCGTGTTGATAACATAAAGTAAACTCAAAGATAAATAAAACGTGGAAATTATAGAGCATCCTGCACCAACGGAACGAGCACCAGCACCCGCTCCCATCTGCAACCTTCTTCAAAGAGTGTGGCGGGTCCAAACCCGCCCCCTCCCCGTTTTTTGGGTCCAGCACCATAGTCTCACCTTCTTCTCCTGCTTCGCCAGCTTCTTCCCAGGTCCGCCTGCGCTTTGGTTCTCCACTCTTATCCTCCATAGCTGCCGCGTCCGTCTTATCTTCTCCACCCATTGAGTTTCTTGCTGAAGGGATGCCCCAAGTTTTCTTGCCCGGACCTGAACTGCCTCCCTCCTTGCGGGCTGACATGCTTCCCTCCCCAGGTCCATCTGGTATAAGCCACCTACCTTCTCTCTCTAATTGTGACTCCCCCCCCCCCCCTCCTGCTCGTAAACTGGCCCCATACGGCTTGATGGTGTCTGCAATATCCTTCTCATATACTAGAGGACAGAACCTAAAAGAGTGTCCTATAATGCCACAAGAAAAGCAGAAGCTAGGCAACTTCTCATATTTAAAGTCAACCCAGTAACCGTCGCCCTGTCCCTTTCTGAGTGTGGTCCCAATCTTCAGGGGCTTTCCCACATCCAAACAAGCCCTAACCCTCATATATTATGGGCTTATGGCTTCCACTTTATATCATACTGGGGTTTTTCCCATTTAACAAACTTTCCAACAAAATTTCCAATTCTCCTAGCCACACCCAAATTCATAAAATCATAAGGAATATCATGGACCTGGACCCAGAATTCGGCCTCATTTAGAGGAACACGGAGTGGGATATCCCCGGGCTGAAGCGCCTGAAGAACTAGCAAATTCCGTTAAAAAATCCACGGTCCATCTTCAAGCACAAGTTTCATGTCAATAGGATGGTAAAAAGTAAACATATACCTCTTCTCATTGAGTTCTTTAATAGAGATACCCTTACCAGGCATCCAAAGTGAGGCCATAAGCTTGCGGAGAGCCGAGAAATTCACCATCTTGTTAGTGATGACAGTCCCTACCACTGGATAGACCTCCTGCTTGCCCTAGCCATCCTCTTCCTCAAGAGCCTCCTCCTCAAAGACCAACTCTTCTTCCTGATTCCCGATCACCATGTCCCTGCATTTGTTAGCTATTTCTTCCATATTTATACCTAAAAGTGGCCGACAAAAACCTACCCCCTGCACTCGAAGGTAAAGCCGAATCCAAGAGCAGTTTTACCCACAAAAAGCGAAGGAGATCAGTACTCCTAACCTCCAGGCGAAGGCCTTCTTACACTCAAAACAGCAGCCAAGACAAATCGATCTTTCCCCTCACGATCGAGAGGGAAGATCGCCGCCGAAATTACCTAACCCTAAGAAACTGCTGGGCATGAATGTACTTGATACAAAGTAATTTTTAGATACTACTCCGTAATTCATACGGAGTATTAAATTTTTAATTTTACATCATAGGGAATATGAATGTTATACTCTCTCTGTCCCAAAATGATGGTCTCATATTTCCTTTTTGGGATGTCCCAAAATGATGGTCATGTTTCCCTTTTTGGAAAGAAAGATGTGGTTCATATCATTTCACCTTTTTCTACTCAAATCTCAACCACAACTTTTACCTTTTCAATCACTTTATTAAAATTTGTGCCCAAAAGAAATGAGACCATCAAATTGGGACAGAGGGAACAATCATTTTGGTAAAACTTTAAGATTGTTTTTTATTTGCTCACGATTTTTTAAGAGACTTGGCATAAAGGTTAGTGTTGCGATGTGATTGAGAGGTTATGAGTTCAAGTATTGAGAATGACTTATGTGTACCAGTTGGCTTCTCTTTTTATATTGAGAAATAATTTTAATATATAAGAAAATATAGGTAGTGAACGAACATTGGCCTTTATATTTTAATAATTTTAAATAATGACCATAGTTATTTTAGCCATTGCGGTATACTTGTAATAATTTCAATCACATTCATTACCTATTTTTATTTTAGTAATATTTATAGAAAATAATTGTTATTATCCGTTTTTGGAATATGTTGGTGATTTTAGTGTCACCGGCCGTTTTGTGTAATTGGAAATGACATGAGTGCCAATGGAAATTAGAACTATGATCTAATACAAGTTAGTAGGTGTGGAGTGCACACTTGTATATAAGAACTGGTTTAATTCCAAAGTGTCTACGTTAGTGGAACTGGAGGTAGAACTTGAGGTATAACTTTCAGTAGACCAGCTCTGTGGTTCGAGACCGAGTTCTAGAACGGTTGGGCAGTTTCCAGCAGTTTCCCAAAAACTGCTGCGGTTTCTCAAACGTGTTGCAATTGCCTAGGACAGTTAATATGGATATATATCACCATATTTCGTACAGAGGAGATAAAGGAAGGATATCCAACGAATCTTCATCACTTTGGCACTCAAATTAAAGCAAAACAATCAATATACTCACTAGTTTGGCTCTAGTTCCTGTGCCTAAGTTCCTAGAGTATCCTTAAGGATTATCCTAGATTGAATTTCTTGTAACCCAGGCATAGGGGAGAAATATCAATTCGGAAAGTGAACTTACACAATCCTTAAGCAATCCAAGTACTCAATTATCACCCCCTACGTGATACCCCAACAATCGAATTGATATTTTCTTTGTGATAATCATGAGTACCGTGGAAGAGATGACTTCCAAGTTCAACAAATTGGACAAGTTTCAAGGGAACGATTTTCGTAGATGACAAAAGAAGATGCACTTCCTTCTCACCACTTTGAAGGTCGTGTACGTGTTGAGCACTCCGATGCCGGAAGTGATGGAGGATGAAACCTTGGAACAAACGAGGAGGCATAACAAGTGGGAGAACGATGACTACATATGTAGAGGCCACATTCTTAACGGTATGTCTGATGCGTTATTTGATATTTACCAAAACGTTGAGAGTGTGAAGGAATTGTGGAATTCTCTTGAGTCAAAATACATCGCCGAGGATGCTTCTAGTAAGAAGTTATTGGTGAGTGATTTTAATAATTATAAAATGGTTGACTCAAGGCCGCTTATGGAACAATACAATGAACTCCTTCGTGTTCTTGGTCAATTTAAACTCCACAAGATAGGTGTTGATGAATCCTATGCTGTGTCGAGTATAATTGACAAACTTCCACCCTCTTGGAAGGATTTTAAACGTTCTTTAAAACATCAAGATGAGGAATTGTCATTGGTTCAACTTGGGAGTCACTTGCGCATTGAGGAGTCTCTTCGTGTGCAAGAGAATGACCAAATTATGGTTGAAGTTGAATCTGGACAGCCTCATGTTCACTTAGTTGAGGATAATAAATCTAACCCGAAAGATAAGGGGAAAGACAAAAAGCGCAAGTATGAAGACAATGACAAACCCAACAAGAAACCGAAAGGTTTGGTTTGTTGGAGGTGTCAAAAGGTTGGACATGTCAAGCGTGATTGCCGTGTGAAACTGAACAAGATTGGCACTGGAACGAGTGGCAGTGGACGGGAACGGTCTAAGGACCTGGTTCCACGGAAAGGAGGTCAGTTCCTGACTAACTTTGATTATTCTGTCTAGAATTATGTATCACTCATTCCAGAATCTTTTTATGTACAGGATAATGACTCTGCATGGTGGATTGACTCGGTCGGGGGCTACGAGCCATGTGTGTAAGGATAAAGGATGGTTTGAAGACCTAGAACCAGTGGAGGTCGGTTCCTTCTTACGCATGGGAGACGAGTCAATGGCGCCTATCTTGGGAAAGGATGTAGTTGTTTTAGAATTTACTTCTGGAAAAACAATTTACGTTGTTTGATGTTTTGTATGTACCGAAGGTTCGAAAGAATCTTGTTTCGGGAAGTATGTTGAATAATTTAGGTTTCAAACAAGTGATTGAATCCGATAAATATATTCTGTCCAAGGGTGGTGTGTTTGTTGGTTTTGGATATTTATCAAATCGCATGTTTCGTTTAAATGTTGTGAATAAATTAATTTCTAGTGATAATTCCGTTTTTGTGGCATCTTCCATGAATGATTCTATGATTTGGTATGCTATATTAGCTCACATTAATTTTAGAAAAATGCATGAAATGTCTAAAGATGGTTTTATTCCTGCTTTTGATATTAATGATGATAAGTGTAGGACTTGCATGCTTACTAAGATCACAAAACAACCATTTCCTAATATTGAAAGGAATTCGGCTATTTTGGATCTTGTACATAGTGATCTATGTGACTTTCACTCAACTCCTTACCTTAGCAATAAAAAGTATGTTGTTACTTTTATTGATGATTCAACTCAGTTTTGTTATGTGTATTTATTACACACCAAGGATGAAGCTTTAGAGAAGTTTAAAGTGTATAAAACCGAGGTTGAATTGCAATTGGGTAATCCAATTAAATGTCTTAGGACTGATCGGGGAGGAGAATATATGGATCCCCATTATTTTCTGTTAGAATACGTTAGAATATATGTAAATATATTCTATTTATTATGTATTGATTTAGTTACCTAGTTTGTAGTTATTCAA